CTGTGTCTGATCTCCTTCCCTGTCCACCTTTCCAGCTTCACAGTAACACTCTTTTTAAAATGAGCATATTACACTCATTTAAGACCATCCAGCCCAACCCCCTCTCATTTCCTTTTTCTGCTTAGAAATTCTCAACTACTCCTTTTACCTGACCTTCTGTTTGTCACAGTCTTCCATGTTTCACCCTACTCTTCCTGTGCATATTCTCTTCTACACCCTTCAGTGGGCTGGCTGCTCCCTCTGTCCTCATTCTCTATCTCTAACCCCCCTGCACTATGGGGCTCTTCCTGGAAACCCCTAGCCCTCTTACAGTCTGGTCACAAATTATGTGACCTTTGAGCTCAAGCCCACCAAGCTTCTCCCAGTTCTTTCCTTCCCTTAGAGTGCACCTAAACCCTTTTTTGCCTTATTAGACCAGCACTTTTCAGGTCAGGCTAAGTTGTGATTTGATCATAGTTATCTGTCTGGTAGCCAGCAGGAGTGATGGAAATAGATACTAGGAGAGAGGGCTTGTTGTCTTGCAAGTCAGAGGGCTACATATCATCTGGAAACAAGGTGGGAATGTTAGCCATTAATTGGGAGAAATGGATAAGTTTTCCAGACTTAACAACAACAACAACAACAACAACAACAACAAACAAGGGCATCCAGCTAAATTTGAATTTCAGATAAACAATGAAATTTTATTTTAGTGTAAATGTGTTCCAAATATTGCATTGGACATATTTATACTCAAAATTAGCTCTTTTCCTGAAATTCAAGTTTAACTGAGCATTCCACATTTTATCTGGCAATTCTAGAATTGGTGTACTGCTTCACGTTCAGAGGGTTCAGGGGAGGTGGAAGATGAAGAGATGGAAGTCTCTTTCTATGCTACCAGTGATGCCTTCTGACATTCAAATTTTGCCTTAATTTGGTAATTAATTCTCTAAGCCTTTCATTTTCTTTCTCCAATGCATCAATGTCACTCAGCAAGAGACAGCAGATTCCATATAATTCCATATAATGACTATTTTCATTAATCCTCTTAACTGCTTACCATATTACACTTACACATACATTCCTTTCCACTAATCACAAGTGAAAATTTTAACAATTGTACAGCTACAGCATGATAGGAACTACTTACTACCAGTATTTTACTACCAATGACAGGATCCTCATTGTCTATTCCAAAAATCCTGTTTTTGGAGCCACTTCCCTAGGACTACTCCCTAGTACCTCCTATCTCAAGTAACTTTCTGGAGGAAGATGACAATGAGATGGAGATTTGTTTGTAGGTAATTTATAGGGGCATATTCAAAAGATCAACAGTTGTGAGGGAAGTGGGATTAGCAGAGAAGTTGAACTGTGATACAGTTCAGGCAAAAGCCTCAGCTGATCCTCTCAGAGTTGCCCAAAATTGAAACAGGAGGCCTGGCCTTTGTATACCCCATTAGTGAGGGCTGCCCCCAGGAGAGGACATGCCCTTAGGAGAGGCAGTTCCCTTCAGGCCAGTTCCCCAGAAGTTGGGGAAATGAATGTCTCTGTCCTGAAAATGTATGGCAGCGGTGGGTAGTTCTGGGCAGCACAACACAGCATCCATTACAACAAACTTATTTGTATCTCCATTGCTGTTTGTTACTTATTCTATCAATCTATGTAGTTCTCAAAAATTTATCTTCATTATCATTTTTTCTATTATTTCCCGTACTATCTTTATCATAGTCTCTTCTCTCTTGTATTCCTTCAAACTTAATGTTTATAAATTATTTCTTTTTATAATTATTTCCTTAGTTCTATCAGTTTTTGTTTCACATCCTTCTGTTGTCTATTTCTGGGTTCTCTTTTTGATTTAAGCTGTGTTTCAAAGCTCTAAATGTTTTCTTTCTTTCCGCTCATTTTGAAAGACTAGATTAGGTTAGAGTTTCCATTTAATTTTTAATCTGCGTTTTCCTTGTGTGTTTGTATTCTACGGGTCTTGTCTTCCGAGGTGCTACTCTTGAGGTGGGAAGCCCCATGAAAAGACTGGCAGGACCCCCAGGCAGGGCCACTACCTTCCAACCGGTGCCATCTGGTTCCCTGGCCCAGTGGCATTATCTCGCTTTTGTGCTTCTGTAAAATGGCTTGCTTCTAGGAGAACAGAACTTACCCCTAAGATTCTATTGGTTCCCAAAGCTCACTCTTGATTGGTCCATTTCTAACACCTCATTTGCATGAAATTTTGCAAAGTCTTTACTGGTAGCCTATAAAAGCCTGTGTAAACCTACAAAAGGGACCCAGAACTTGGAGTGTTAACTCCTCTGGGCCCGCTGGCATAATAAACCTGAGTTCTCCAACCCTCTGAGTGCTGCTTGGTCTCTTGTCAGGATCCGGGTTGCTGTAACACTGAGCTGTAACACTTTGCTGTGACACTTTGCTGCAACACTCTCACCTTTAGAAGTTTACTTTGCTGTCATAATACTTCCTGGGATCTGCTTTCTCTGAATTCTTCCCCCAGCCACTGCTCTCTGAACTTTGCCTTCCTTTTACCCACAATGTTTCTGCCCTGTTGAATTTGATTTCTGAAACTAGCAGTTTTCATTTTGTACGAGTTTTTTCTTCTGGAGGAAACTATATGCTGGATAGTTCTGAAATCCTCCAAGGCTTAGTTCACCACAGCACTCTTTGATCTCTTGCTGATTCTGTGTAATTTTCTCCACTCACCTGTAATTCAGAATCTGTGATGACTTCTTCCAATGTTTCTGTTGCTCTCAAACCTATTTTCTCAGTTTGATCAAGAAATACTGATGTCTCAGATGAGAGTGGAAACAGTGAAGATAAAGGAAATCGGACATTAACTAGTGATATTTTGGTGGTATGATCAAGGGGAAATGTTTATGGTTTAACATAGGAGTAAAGAGGTGCTCAAAAATGGTTTTTGGCTTGAGCAACTGGATGAAGGTTTTATAGAAATGGGAGAAACTGGGAGTGAGTGATTGGTAATGGCAGAAGCAGGCACTCTTGTTTGGCTATATTAAGTTTGAAGTATCTGTTAAATAGCAAAGTGGATATATCAAAGAAAAAAGTCTTTGAACTGAGAGGAAAAGGTCTGCCTAGATGTCACTTCCTTTGGGAAGCCTCTCCTGAATGCCCACTTCCCATCTCTTTAAGCTTATTACCCTTGTTACCCACAACATCCTTTATCACTTCTGTTGTAGACTTTATCAAATTTATATTGCAGTTTCCTATTTATTGGTCCATTTTCTCTGTTAGATTGTGAGCTGTTTGTGGAACAGAAGATATGTTCTTCATTTTTTTTTCTCAACTTCCTTCCTGGCTCAATGCTGGCAGTCAGCTGTTATTGTTTGTTCAATACATGCATATAGCAAAGCAGCCAATTCCATTTTTTCTGTATCTCCAGTTATTAAAAATTATTTTCCAAATTCATCCAGAATTCGCCTATCTTCTTTTCAGTTGAGAATATACCTGTGAAGCTAAGTGCTATTAATGCACTTGTCTGAATTCAACTGACTTCAATAATATTCCTTGTGTCATATGTGATTTTTGTCTAGATGATAAGCATATTAGTCTTTCAAATCAAGCATGTAATAAAAATCCCAACACTGTTCTTACATTTAATATCTTTTTCTTGTCCCCCACCACATTTAGTATCTTAAAAACTGTGTCTCCTCAAACATGTTTGTATTGTCTTCCATAGCCAAATGGAGGCTTTAATATTTATACTATTAAATTTCATTTTGCCTGATTCAGCACTCAACTCCAGAAGTGGAGATCATTTTGGATCCTGCATATATATTTAAATATCTTGACTTTTACCTCCAAGTTCTCAGAGGCAGAAGTTTGGAGGAAACCAAATGTGACAAAGTTGGGTTTCAGGTCCTTGTCCCCAGCTTCAAGCAGAAAATAACGCTTTCTGGTTAACATTAAATTTATTTTATGGTGGGGTTAACATAAAGTTCATTTTTGGCCGAAAAAAAAGTTTTTGTCCTAAAAATTTTCAAAACCATTTACTACAAGTCACTGATGACTTTCCCAAGAATGCAGTCAACACTACACCCTTCTCTCTCTCCCAACTTGCCACACCATCAATTTAAATGATTTACCCAGTATTGATTCAACTTTTAATTTTTAATGTGTGTAGCTAATCTTAATGATTCATTGATCTACTTAAATTATTTTGGAAAGATAGTAGCAATTTGGTATCTTAGTGAATATTCTTATGATATATAATTTGAATTCCCAGCCTTCCAGCTTTAAATGCAAAATGGACTTCTGCAAAAGAATTTATCAATTCTAAAAATGCTTACAATTCAATTGAACTCATCTTGAACTTTCTGTGGAAAAAAATGTTACTTTTTGGCATGTTCAGAAAAGAGAATTTGCCATTTTTGTAGCTAATTGATAATCTATTTGCTCTACTCTGGTTCTTCTTCCCCCTCTCCTTTCATCAGTACACCAGATGTGTTTTTTAAAGACAGGGGAAGTGATACTATAACACCAATCATCTTATACCAACACTTTTGTGGAAGAAAAGTTAATTTGGGCACCATCTAACTACCTTTTGGACTATTCATCAAACCAGGTATAAGCCCACCCAATCATATTATGCTTCAATTGATATTTATCATTTTATTCAAATCTCAAAGAAAAATAACTATTAAATTATTTGCCTAAGTGCAGATAAGTCATCATCTAAATTTATTTACTTTTAATAGGATTAACACATCAAGGGAATAGTATAGCCTACGTTTCCTATTCCTGATGACTCCATGTTGGATTGTGATGCTTTTCCTACAAGGTCACACAGCTTGATGGTACAACTGAGACCAGAATCCTAGACTTGGATTCCCAGGCTATTACTTTTTCTACTATACCATGGTGATGCTGAAATGCTTAAAAGAGATGTTTATCATAAAAAAGGGAGAACCAGAGTAAAAGAAAATAATCAAGATGAAACAATTCAAAGGTAATGCCCCCTCTCCACTGTCCCCTCCCATTTATAAATTCTTCCTTCTTCAGTTTCAAGTATTTAATTGGTTTTATTTTTCTAACTTAAAACTGAGCTCAAGTCTGAATATCAGCCTTCTAAGCAATATGTAGGAGAAATGAAATTATTACAACTTTATAGTCAGATCTTCCCAGAGGTGCAAACTGTTTAATTATTTCCCCTCTCACTCTCAAAATAAAATAATAACTAGCTGGGAAATGATCATTTACATAAAACAAGTATGTAGAAATTAAAACACTTTAATATAAACATTTCCAGAATATAGACTGATTTTTTTCAGTACTTTTGAGAGCTTTTTAAAACTATATATCATCTAAGTTTATTATAGACTGTTTCATTTTCCACTTTCAGAACTAGAAAGTACAAAAATACACTGCAAATTAGATTTAACAAACAAACAAACAAAAATCAGTCTAAATCACTTCACACATTTTCCCTGGAGAAAACCAAGAAACATAAACAAACACACAACAACAACAGTAAAGTACCACCAACACTAACACAAACCGAAACAAGGGATGGATTCTATAATGCCTGGTAATTCTCTCATTTAAAATAAATTATCTCCCATAGGTAAATAATTCACTATCACAGCAATTTGATGAATAGGAGTAGAGACAGCCTCATTAAGGAAAATTATATGTAAGAAACATGTAACTTTTCTTTCATGTTAAGAAATGAGGAAAAATAATTTGAGGAAAAGGCATATTGAATACTTTTACTTCACTTGGCTTTTGTTAGCAGTTAAAGTAACTGTCCACTTAGGAAAATTTAAATAACATGAATTTCATAAAATGCAGCTCTTCAACTTATTTCTTCAATTCAACCTTAAGGAAACAAAACTGAAAACTTCAAAATCCAAGAGAAGATTCCACCCAAAGCACTGACACTTTTGTCTTTTCTTCAATAGGCTTCCTTTTCTCTTATGTTCTTATTGTGGTCTTCTGTTCTTCTTTCTTCAAGGTTTAAGCTTGTTTATCTCTTCTTTCAATTTAATTTCAATTTTTACACACAAAAAACTAAGCTTTCCTAAACTGACACAGGCTGTATCCACCTTTTTCTTCATTGGATGTTCCCGTCTTTGTCTAAATTTCCCTATTCTTAACCGATTTCTCCTTAAGTAAACAAAGCTAAAAGTTTAAAATCCAAGAATAGACTCATCCCAAAGCATTTCCTCTTCTGTCTTTTCCTCAACAGATTTCTTTTTCTCTTTCTTGTGCCTACGTTCTTCCTTCTCAGAGGGTACACCATGACTTTTTTTCTTTTTTCGATGCTTAAGCTTTCCTGAACTGACACTGACTTTATCTTCCTCTCTTTTACTTTGTCGGATGCTCTTGTCCTTGTCTAAATCTGTATCCCCACAATTCTTTTTCCTTTTATGTTTGGACTGCTCCTTCTCTGGCCTTTCTTTGCCTTCCTCCAGGTGCCTTCTTCTCTTCTGATGTCTCCGCTTATGACTTGATTGATGGTCACTGGTATTGTTTTCTGAGGAGAGGTGCTTGTAAACTTCAGATTCTACACTGTATGGGCCAGAGTTATTTTCCTGCTGACTAAGGCTCAGGGGTACTGGTTTTTCTGGGAAATAGTCTCTGGTGGGTTGACAGTAAGTCATAGAGTCTGATCTCTGTTTGCTGTCATGAGCTGGTAAGCAATGAGGTAACTGGTTTTCTGCTGTTTGTGAAATATTGTATAATCCTGGGTAAGTCTGGAAAGTCTCACATGGGAGTCTTTGTTCAAACATTCTATATCTAGATCTGGAATCAACCATTTCTCTGTATTTGTGAGTTTCCACAGAGCTATCAGTTATCTTTCTGAAACAAGTCTTTGGCTCTAGTCCTCTGGCTTTCTGCACTTTGATATAATCTTCAAGTTCATCTTGGAAAGAGTCATATGTCCTCTTTGAATGAGCTGGTAACCAATGATGTAGTTGGTTTTCCACTGGTGAAATATTGTATGGTTGTTGGTAGGTCTGGGAATTCTCAAGTGAAAATCTTTGCTCCCACATTCTTGGTCTGGGTCCAGAATCAACTTCTCTGTACCCATGGGATTCCATAGAGCTCTTTCTTATCTTTCTGAAACAAGTCTTTGGATCAAGTCCCCTGGCTTTCTGCACTTTGATGTAATCTTCCAGTTCATCTTGGAAAGAGTCATACATCTTCTTTGAGTGAGCTGGTAAGCAATGAGGTAACTGGTTTTCCACGGTTTGTGAAATACTGTATGATCCTGGGTATGTCTGGAAAGTCTTACATGGGAGTCTTTGTTCAAACATTCTATGTCTGTATCTGGAATCGACCACTTCTCTATACCCACGGGCTCCCAAAGAACTCTCTTCCATCTTTCTGAAACAAGTCTTTGGTTCTGGTCCTCTGGCTTTCTGTACTTTGACGTAATCTGTACATTCATCTTGGTAAGAGTCTGGTGGCTTCTTTGAATTCTTCACTAGATTGATAACAATAGATTCTCTGCAAACAAGACAGTAGAAAGTTCTTGTCACTAGATTGCTTTATTTTTTGTTGCTTTGTTTTCAAAAATATTAGAAAAAAACAAATGTAACAGAAACCAAAACAAAATTTTTAAACTTACCTCAATATAAAAGCTATACATCGTGACTTTGTACGCCAAAAAAAAAAAAAAAGCAGGGACAGTCAGGTATTTCCTAGGCACCTCACAATTTTTTGTGCACAAAAAATTTTCAGGCTTGGGATGAAAGGGAAGATGGGTACAAAGAAGCAGACATATCTGACACTGCTGCGGTACTTGAAATGTAAAGGATGTGTGGGAAAGAACCAATAATATTTAATGCCCTGAAGATGGTCTGATCTGAATGTCACATTGCTTTAAAAGTTTTGATTAGTTAATTCCTTGTACAGATCTATAAATGTGACAGCTAGTTGTTCTGGAAACCTGAGATTTTTTTAAAAAGAGTCTAAATGAAGGTTAATTTGGTGAGTGAGACAATTTAGCTCCTTAGTATTCAGATTCAATAATATAAATATTTTCTACTAGAATAAAATAATGTAACAGAAATAGTATGTTTTGTAGGAGGGGTATAGCTCAGTGGTAGAGTGTGTGCTTAGCATGCACTGGGTTTGATCCCCAGTACATCTGTTAAAAAAATAAAAATAAACCTAATTGCACCCCCTCAAAAAAAACCAAAAAACAAAAACAAACAACAACAAAAAAAGTTAAAAAAGAAATAGTATGCTTTGATTTTAAAAGCAACAAAACAAATACACAATAGTTAAGTGCTCCTCTATCTGGCTACCTGACTTATGCAGTCCCCAACAGTCCACACAATCTTCTCCTCCTTAAAATAACAGAATAGACTGGAATAAATGTGTATTGAGCTTCTACTATGTGCCAGGTCAGGCACAGTATATATATATTTTATATTTCATTATAACCACTTTAAGTCAGAGCTGTCCAAAGTTATACATTTGGTAGAAAGATGGATCTGGTATTCCAATTCAGTTCTGTCGAATAATAAAACCTTTTTACTTAACCACTATACCCCACTGGAAGGATGATGACCAGATCACTGAATCCCTGAAACCAGCCAACCATTCAGGGATTATTTGAATTTGTATGGCTAGCCTGAGAATGATCCTTTAGCATCTTTACAAAGAAGAACAATGCTGTCTGGTCAGGAGAGGTACTAGTTAGCCAGCCCTGTCAGTATACTATCATGGCTAGAGAACTCCCTGGGAGATGGTACTAGCATGCAAATACCACCAACCATACCCAGGATCAACTCTTAGGGAAATGAATGCCGAGAAAGTTTGTAAAATACATGCAAAGGCATTTGACAGAAGCACTGGTCTTTGATGTCACAGGAGCATTTTGGCAAGAAATACTTACTTAATTTGATGTTCACTTCCTTGCATATGGGACCGGAACATTTCTAAAGATGTAAAGGTGATATTACAAATATGACAAACGTAGGTTCTCATACTAAACGCTGAAAAAAAGAGTACAAGTTAAGAAGGTCAATAGGAATAGACTTAGAATCATATAGCTGGACAGGAATTAACTAGAGATCAACTACTTTAACTTCTTCAATTTAAATATAAGGCCCAGAGATGTCAAATGACTTGGTCAAAGTCACAGAGCCGTTCATAATAGAGAGAGCCTCTCAGAGCCCATGTCTCTTAATTTAGAGCCCAGAATTCGTTACACTACACAGCATTGCTTCTCTAGCCTTGGCCTCTTTCCTAAGAAACTACTATCTGCCTGCTTATTGTTGCTATGCAGAAGTGCACCAGACACTTCACATTTAGCATGCCCAATCAATTTTTGCCTCTTAATCTCTCAACCAACCTCTTTTTGTTTGCCCCTAATTCTCTTTCTACCAACTAAAATCTGAAACATCCCAAAATATTAAATACAAATAAAAACAAATTTTTACTCTCTTACTTGAAATCACTGTAGTACATTAGTTTACCAAAAGTAATTTCCACAGACAGATTTTAGAAAGGACAGAGGTTCAGTGAGCTCCACTCTCAGGATAAATATTGAAAGCAAAATTCTAGACAAAACTACTAGTTATCACTTCATAAGTGTCAAGAACTATAGAATAGGTATACAGCTACTTCTCTATTCTTATTCTTAGGTAGAATTGGAAGCAGGAAATAGATTAATTTCTATTTTCTTAATCTTATCATCCTTTCACCTTCTCTTTGGTCAGAAGCAGCAAATTAATAAACTTAATAAGCTAAATATAAAAACAATCCCACCCTAAGGAAGAGGCAATAAATTGATGGCTGCAGAGATTTTAGGGTCAGGCAAGGCCATCTTTTTAAATGAAACAGCAACTTAATCATTTAAAGGACACAAAATTAATCACTACTAAGTGTACTGGCCTTGTTCAAACAATGATTATTCATAGAAACAGGAGACTACGGTCGAGGGAAAAGAAAGATTCTGACTTTGAATAACATGAGGACTCCGCTTACTATTGACATATACTCTGTGGTGGGCCCAGGAGAGCTCAACGGGTTATGTCAAAGTCTTAATGAATGATTCTTCAAAATTATCCTCTCCTCCTGTGCTCTGATTTTGTGTTTACCAAGTCACTTCTGATTATACTTTGGTTTCTCATATTCTTGATAGCAAAAAGAGAATACACTAGATGATAAGGTTTTTTTTTAAAAACCTGGAAACTGGAAATACATCATTTCTCCTTCTACCATAAATCAGTATTACCAGAATGACAATATATTATCTTAAGCTACAATGTTTACCAGAATTCTCAGATAAGATTCACCTGGAAAGTTAGTTGAAAATGTAGATACCCAGAACTCTCCTCTAGAGAATGGAGAATATGATTCACTGAGATAGTGAATTTATATTTTAACAATACCCCAGCTAACTATTGTCAGAGAATGCGTAGAAAATACACTAAGTGAATACCTTTCCAGTTCCTTGGTTATTTATCAGCATCTTCCAATTTTGGTTTGGTGAGTCCCTGATTTGAGGCTGATCAACCTGAAGATTTTGAACTTCTTGCAAAGCTGAGGACTAAATCTAGGACTCTGCATGCTCATAACAACCCTTTTCAGGAAATCATTACAAACCTTATTTAAGAGGTGTGAAAATTAAAGCTCAGATTCACTTGGCCAATCCCGTATGTATTTTGAGGACACCTAAGTTGTGCAAGATAAGCAGGAGTCCTGTTTTCCTTTAGACTAGTGGTTCTCAATGTTAGTTACACATTAGAACCATGTGGAGAACTTTAAAAATATTCATGTTACAGCTCCACATCAGCCCAATTTAATCAGAATCCCTAGGGGTGGAATCAGTCTTACTTTTTAAAAGTGCTGTAGATTATTTTTCTGTGCAGCCACTGCTGAGCACCACTGCCCTAGATTATCAAGCCAATGATCTTCATTATGATTATGAACTCTCATTATATTTCAGATATTGTATGTTTAGTGCTTATAGGGTATATTGTATGTAATGTTCTCCTCAGTTCCTCCTTGGTTTCTTCACAAATTACATCAGAAGATTATAATATAGGTAATACAGTAGTTTAGAGGAGCTGAAGGTCACATATGAAAGATCCTGAGATAGTTCTATAACTGTGATCTGATTTCTATTACCTTGGCCCTTGTCTTTTTCATATAGTTAATCTTTTTTCCAGGATACAGACATCTCAGAAAATAATACATAAAAACAATGTAAACCCTTTCTGTGAAGAGATAAAGCCTATTTATTGGCCCCCAAGAGCAAAATTCCTGGCCTAATCCTTTTGAAACCTAACTCTACTATGTTTCTTATACTGTCCATTCTCCTATATGAGTCTGCTCCTTGGCCCTGTCCAGCTGTGCTCCCCTCAGCCCTGCTAGGATTCCTTGTTTCTGACTTCACCCAGAAACTCAAGCATCTTTGCACACTTTACCTTTCAGAATTACCCATAATTTAACACTTGTGGATCCCATTTTTCTCCTAATCACAGCCCTATCTCCTAACTCCCCAGACTTAGGTCTTTGTTTACAAAGCATAGACTGGGTAAATGCATGTCTTTGTAGTCTAACATTGTGGCTCTCAGTCTTGGTTCTTTAACATAATCACATGGGGAATAAAACAAAGAGAAAACAAAACCCTGATGTGTAGGTCCCAGGGATTCTAATTTAATTGATTTGAGGTATGGGCTGAGCATTGGTATTTCTAAAAGCTCCCTGCATGATTCTAATAGCTAGTCAAGAATGAGAACCACTGGTCTAATATCTTAAGTGGGGAAAATCAATCAAGAGCTGCATGTAAGCAAAAATGCAACTTAATGTGGGATTTAGCTTATGAACAAAAATAGAAAATGTTCAATTTACCTGTTTTTAAATTATGACAGGAAACAATATTTCAAGATAACTAACATTTGTTGAGGATCTATTCTGTGATGGGTACTGTATACACTGCTTCATTTCATCCTTTTTCAATCCTATGAAGTAGTCTAATTTTCATTTTATACCTGAGGAAGCTGATATGCAACTGGGCAAGTGACTTCAAACATTTATCCAAGTCTATGTTTATCCCACTACATGACCCAGCCCCTCAATAAACAATTACTAAATATTTAGAAACACTATATACTCATTACCACATAAAGCACTGAGAAGGATACTGCAGAATAAAATACAACCCTTTGTCTCAAGGAGGCCAATTCAGTTACAAGTCTATAATTAATGCAACTGTCAATGAACAGTAAAGCCTATGAAAAATCAAAGAAAGGGGAGAACACCAAGAGCTAGAGCAGTGATGGAAGTTGTGATGGATCTTGGAGGGAAAGAGGATTTGAATTATAAAAAAATAATAAGGTAGGGCATTCCAAGGCATGAAAACAATATCAGGTATGGTGAAGACAAAAATGAACATGATGTGCTGAATTCAAATAATCTGTTCAACAAACACTAAACACTTCTGTGGCACCAAGCATCATGCTAGATGCTAGGGGTACAAGATGAATAAAATGGGCAGGTTGCTCACAAATCCAAGTGAGAAAGAGATACATGAACAAAGGATTTCAATTTCATTTGGTAAAAGGTAAGAGAGGTATGCTTAAGAGGTATGGGAATTCAAGGAAGCAGAGGCACTTAGTACAAGATGAAGGTATAAAGAAGGCTATAGGAAGAGATGATGCCTTAGTTAAGCTTGGAAGGATGAAAAATAGTTAATGGTGAAAAGAGCTGAGAAGAGTACTGTAGACAGAAGAAATAGCATGAAAAAAGCAAAGAAATATTTACAGGGACTTGTTAAAATCTGGAATTGCTGTAGAACAAAAGATAAGGGGACGAGATGGGAGAGGCAATAGGGAGTCAGATCAAAGCAACTTCTATGTTATGCTAAGGAGCCTAGACTTTTTATTTTGTGGGCTGGGAAAACCTGAAGTGGCTTAAGTAGTTATGTGACATGGTCAGGTGTATGTTTTGGAGAAATCTCTCCTCTAACTACAATATGGAGGATGAACTTGAGAGGAGCAAGCCTGGAAGTAAGGAGACCACAGTTACATAAATGTATTAGACCAGGCAAGAGATAAGGAGGGCATGGGCTAGAAAGGTCACAGCAGCAGTAGAGAGCAGCAGGGAGATTGGTGAAATATTTACCATTAACACAGACAAAATTTAGTGACTGACTGAACGTGGGCAACAAGAGAAAAGGAAGACTCTAGAGAAGTCTAAAATAACCCTCAGCATAGTTTGGCAACTGAATGGGTGGTGATCCTGTTAACTGAAACTGGAACTTCATAAGGAAATACTGTTTTAGGAGGTTGGAGAATAAGCAATGTTGAGTTTGAATCAGGACACACAGAATCTGATAATATCTGTGAGATTTCCATGTAAAGGTGTCCAACAGGCAGTTAGATATGGGAGTATGAAAAGCAGAAGACAGGTTAGAGTGATTCTGGAGAAGTCAGAGCAGAGGGGTAGTTAAAACAATCAGAGTTCTTGAGATCCCCTGAGGCCAATGTATGGGTGGGTACAGGAATAGCAACATAATGATAAAAACCCTGGATAGTGCCACTCTTTAAACTAAGATGGTAGAGGAGAAGGGGGCCTATGAAAAGTCACGAAGTAAAGGACAATTATAAGAATGAACAGGAGAGGGTGACATCAAAGGAGCTAAGGAAGTAGAGATTTTTAAAAGAGGAATGTTTAGTGAATGGAGTAAAGATATCCATTGGATTTAGAAATTTAGAGGCCACAATGACCCTGTGAGGAAGTTTCAGTGAAACAATACACTGGTGGTGTGGAGGGCTAGGGGAATGTGCATCAAAAAATGGCAATGAGTTGAGGAGTGAGTAACAGTGAAGACAGTAAGAATATATTTGAGAAACAACAACAAACTTGACTAAGAAGGAAAGGGGAAAGTATAGTAGTTAAAGGGAAACTCAAGGTTGAGGGATGATTTGGTTAAGGTAAAATACTTGGTAATCCACATTTGATGGCCAAAGTTTTCCTAATGATTTGGTTAAGGCAAGATACTTGGTAATTCATATCTGATGGCCAAATTTTTCTTGATGAAATAAGGAATAAGCTTGCCTGAGGGGTGTGAGGAGGGGGACTGTTGAACAGCAGAAGAGAGTCTTGGAGAGTGGTATAGGCTTAAAATCACTGTTGAAAGGAAACTGAAGGAAAAGGAAAAGGATTAAGTAGGACTAAAAGTCATAGAGGCTGGATACTAAGACTCTGTAGAGGTACCCAATCTCTAGCCTTATATAATTTTCTGTAGCATCACTCAGTATCCTGAATGTAAAAGTAGAACAGGTAGACTGTACAACTGATCCAGGGTTGAAATCTTGCTACTAGATTGTGACAGAATAACAATGAAGTATAAGAAAAGTCTTCCAGGAGTGGTTAAAGCATTAAAATGTGAGATCATGTAGTGAAAATGTAATGGAAGGGTATAGGAAGGAGAAATAGTTCCAAGAAAACTTGGTAAGACTGTTGATGAACAGGATATAGGGAAAGTAAGTAGTCAAAGATATCCTCAAAGATTCAAGTGTAGGTGACAAAAAATAGTGGTACTACTGGCAAGGGTAGAAAATTTGGTAAATTCAATATGGTTTTAAGGAAAATTATTAATTCGATTTTAGATATGTTGAGTTACTGGTGAAGGCGAGACATCTAAGTGCAAAAATGGGGCCAGAAATTAGTAAAATAAACAAAACAAATACAATAAATAAAAAATACATACATACTTTAGTTCCATATCGTTATGGTAGCCATTCCTGTGCTAATAAAGATCTGGGCTGGATGAGGGACGTGAACAAAGCAATAAGAATGATGAAGAAAAGGAGGAAGAGATTAGATATAGCAGAAACATATAAATAATAGAAGATAGAAAAGAAGGCAGAGACAGAAAGGAGAAAAATGGGTGAAGAGTAAAAATAGTGAAGGTGGCACATGTTGAATTGTTTTTGTCTTACCACTTGCTCACTTATAATATAAGCTTCTTCTGCTGCTGTTCTTTAAAATTCTCATTAACTAATTTAAATTCTCCAGCCATTTTTTAATCCTCCAATGTTTACTGTTCTCAAAATGAAATAGTCAAGGCAGGGTTGAAAATCTGTACTTTGAGCTCTAGCTTCAGAGGCTAGTGTAAAATGATTTTGATGACTGGAGTAAATTATGCTGATGATTAGTACCCACTCCCTGGCCAGTTGAAAATTTCACCGAAATCCTCCTTCTCTCATTCTAATAACCTTGAAACTTCAGAGTGCTAAAATGACCCTCCTTTCAGAAGTGACCAGAGTGCACACACTTCTCATAACTGACACACTTCTCAGTTCTAATTTACCTAATGCCACTAAACTAGAAGCCATTTCCTTCAGATAAGCCTCAGCACAGCAATAGGAAAAATACCCTAATAAGTGGAAGTTTATCATTTCTCCAAACATCTGCTCCTTTCAGAAGCCCTACCACTTCTATTTCTATACTTGCCTAAATCAACATTCTTTAAATTCCTAGATAAAAACATACATCTGTATGTAACTTAGGGGGAATATGTTGAATCACATTAAGTAGCAAACTTAACAGTACAAACATAGAGTTAGCACTCAATATATAAAGACTAATTCTTCACTGATTCATACATTAAACTAATCTCTATCGAAGTAGGCCTACTCTGTGCCAGTTTCTATCTCTAGTACTGGGAATATAGATGAGTTAGATGAAGTCCCTTCCCTCAAAGAATTTACACTCTAATGGGAGATAAAGACACAAGGAGAGAGAATTAGATATGCAGGTTAAGGAAGCACAGAAGATAAGCCTTGAAGGAAGTGAAAAGGCTTCCAGGGAAGTAGCATGATAAAAAATGAGAAGAAGTTAGTCAAGAGAAGAGGGACACGAAGATGTTCCAGGCCAAATGGCAGCATGAAGAAGGACACAGAGATAAAAACAATGGTGTAATAGTTTCTGGAAACTATAAGCAGTTTGCAGGTTCTGACCCACATAATTATCCTTAGAAAATAGAGAAACAAGGATTTTTAAGCAGGGGAATGACATGCAAAGATGTACACTTAGGTGAAACACGCTAGTAGTTAAACTGAGGGTGGATTTGGGGAGACAAAACTGATGGCAAGGAGAGTAGTTAGGATGTTGTGGCAATATTCTAGAACAATGCTTCTCAAAATTTTTTGTGAGTACAAATCCCCTAGGGATCTTTTAAAAATGAAGATTATGATTCAGTAAGTCTGCAGTGAGGCCTGAGATTCTTTTTTCTAACAAGATTCCAAGTGATGCTTGTGATGCTAGCCACAAATCACACTTTGAGTAGCAAAGCTCTAGGAAAGATGTTGAGAGCCTGAACTAATGTGGGAAAAGCAGAGCTGAAGATAAGGGAACAGTAATATACAGGAGGTAAAACAGTAATGGCTTGGTGCTTCATTAAATGCAGAAAGTGAAGAACATGGTTTGGGGGATATATAGTTAACTACAGGTTTCTACTTTGAATGACTGAGTGGATCTGAAACGGCTATGAGGTATCCAAGTGCAGCAGTAGCTGCCATTTGGATATATGAGTCTAGTGCTTGACAGAAAGGTCATAAGCATACAGATAAGAGATGAAATCAGGGGAATGGAATATATCATGTTTATAGATTAAGGTCAAGAATGCAACCTTGAGAACACCCACATTTAGGCAATGAATTTTAAAAAGAGCCCCCAAAGGAAACAGAACAGGAATAGAAACACAGGGGAAGATTCAGAGCATAAGGAGTTACGTATGACAAAGAATAGAGCCTCAAGGAGGGAGTAATGAACATTTTCACATGAAGCAGAAAGGTCCAGTAAGGAAAGAATTGAAAAATAATAGTGAGTAGAGGAAAAGAAGTGGATGAAAGAGAGAATATGAAAAGGCAATAAAATACACTAGTAGTGAGAAGATGCCTGTGGAGGAAAAAAATGAAAAAAAAATATGGTTAGAAGAGCAAGTGGATTACTCCAGTCGGGATCAGAATCTTTACTGTGCCTGAATTCTTGCTACTCTTTCTCAGTTCCTTTGTTCATCCTCTCTCCTTCCCACTTCTACCAATCTAAATCATATACTCCCTCTATGAAGACTGTCTGAAATATAATGTTTCACTCCTCTGGTTACCAGAAATATATACACAAAAATCCATGTCTGCAGCCTCTTGCAATGATGTGTTATTAACCCAACTAGTTTACACACTTGCCCTTTCAACGAATATGCTATATCCTCATTTGTACTCCCAAGAATGACTAGCCAAGCCCCCAAGAGACACTTAAGTCATTCTTAGTGATTCAATGATATAACAACATGATACTAATTTAAAATATTTCCTTAGGTACCTATGATATAATATGAAACATGAGAATATCTATATTTGATTCTGTAATTAATAAGGATCATCTAAACATTTCTGTGTCTCATTTGCTAGAAAACCAACAGACAGACTTAGATGGACTCAAAAGTCCTTACTTATCTAAAATTCTATGATCCCATGAGTATTATCAACTTCCTATTCAATAAGAGTAAAATGGTATATACATAAGCCAGTATGTTTTATAAAATATAAACTTCCTAAGAAAGAGATTTGGGATATTTTTACTGTTTACCATTTGCATCTGATTTTGCTGGAAGAGGTTTCTCTCTTATCTTGTCTACAAACTTCTTCCTAGCTTCATTTCTTTTGTGTTTTTTCCCAACATAATGTTGTTGGGCCATTAATGGACTATTAAAGGAAGCAGGACAGAGCTTGCAATACTTGTTTGGATTATTCAAATCCAAAGCAGGGCTGGAAGAGGAAGGCATAGTCTTGTCTTTAATCCCACCTGGAGGAGGCTTGACAGCAAGGGGCTTCAGAAAAGTTGACTCTGCAGAAGTAGTAATAGGCACACCTGCTGAAATAGTCGTAATGAAAATGATCAACATGTGTTCAGCCATTAGAGTTGCATTCATTATAAAGTATTAGGGAAATTTAGAGTTCTTTAAAAACCTACTATATCTGAACATTTTTCCACACAGGGCTGTTGGATAAAGGTACTCAGGTTAAAAAGAATTTCCTTCTCTGAGAATAGAAATTTGAATACAAGTCTGTTACCAAGTTTCTCCAACAAAGATACAGGAAGGAATGTTCAGCATCAAGCATTTATTTCAAGTGAATTATATTCATTTGAAACATCAATGAGAGCATGAGCTATTTTAGGATGGTTGTTGAAATTAGTGAGGGTAAAATGGATGGTACCAACTTCTAAGTTGGTGTCTTTCTTGATAAGTAAGTAAGTCATCTATTCATTTCAGATTTGTGATGTCTATATCAAAATAAAATTTATACAGTTGTTTAAGGCTAATGAAATTATACAGTTCCACAATTACAGTTATTTCAGAGCTCTTTCATTTAGTCTCCTCTCTGAGCCCAAATTAATGGATTTGGGGGACTAAAGATATGGCTTTACAAGATGCTTTCTCTTGTAGAGTACACTGATTCTGGCCCTCCTTCCACTGACAGGCAGAAAAACAAATATACAAAAATTAGAGAAACTAGAATAAATTCAAAAATAATTCTACTTTCATTTATTAAGATAGCAATATACTTTAATGCTGATGAGGCCTACACAGTGAGTTGGAAATTAATGTTAGTAAAATTTCCACACCAAGTATGCTTTATTCCTAAAGTGTTGAAGCTACTATGAATGTGGTAAATTATTTATCCCAGAGGGTTAATCATATTATTTTTTGTTCCAGCACATAAAATTTTCAAAATACACGTTGGGTTTTCCAGGGTGTACTCTGCCACTTCAAGCCAGAAATGAGATTTATGGGTCAGTTCTCTCATGTACTGGTGGCCCAACATCACTGGAAGGAGGAAAGAGGCAACATTTTACAGTTCTCTGTTATCTTTGGGATCTAGCATAAAATAAGTACTCAATAACTGCTGATTGATAATGCTGGTGTTACTTTTTCTTTACAGTCATAGGAAGAAAGGAATAAGCTATTAGGGTAGAAGGAGATTCCATAACATCTATTTTTTTCCTTACAGTTACAGTCAGAAAATGCTGCACTATAAGTATATTATGGTGAATACACTGGTCTGACAACACATTATGAGATAACGTTTTGAAAAGTACTAAAGCAAAAAAAGAATGAGAAGATGCCAAGGGAAAGAAGTAAGAAGGACGTAAGATTTTGATTTGATTAGAAACTAGAGATGTCAGGCTTATTGTTGTGTCTTTACAACAGCATAGCAAATCACTTGCTTTTATTTGGATTTAATAAATTGAGAAGGAGTGGTCATAACTTTTCTTAAAATTCAGCTAGGAATTATGATCCCCATATTAAAAGACAAGAACACACAAAGGGATTAACAGAGCAAAAGAAGAATTAAGTTATTGAAGCAGAGTGAAAGTCTCGCCAATCAGAAAATGGATGGCAGAGTTAGGAAACAACGATAGAGAGACCCTGTATTGAAGCTAAAGAGGTAAACGTAATCTTACCCATCTCCGGGTGAAATCCTGATGGAGATACCTGATCATGCTCCTCCATTAATTGCTTCAGTTTTTTAGCATGGACTTTCCCCACATAGTGAGACTGAGCAACAACTGAGGAGCTAAAAATCATGTTGCAGAGATCACAAAATTTGTTTCTGTTCACTACTTCACTCCTATGCACCTGAAATAAGCACAATCTTGTTAGAATGATTCAATAATTAAAGTTTTGAATTACTACAGCAACACAGGCCACTCACCTGAAAATTCCCAACATCCATCTTCATTTTCTTAACAGGCACTTCATTTTGTTCCCCATGCATTTGAAAATAAAACCTAACATTTTGAGCATGTTTTTCACTCTGAAAAAAGATATGATATGACTGTGTTTATTCAATAACAGAGGGATGCCAAATTTACACCTCTTTGCATTTGAGAACAGCACCTATAGTTTGGAATGTATTTGGTATGTATCAAGTCTATGAAAAAGCTTCACATGCTTTAAAATCTCCAAATCTCAGTTAAAATGAAAACAATGCTATAATTTAGAGGCCAATAACTTTTAGGTTCTTGTTTTTGACCGAGACTCCTAGTTTTTGTCCAGTAACACATTTCTTCTTCTTCTTTAGATACACATCTTGGGCAATATACCCAGCTTTTTATTTATTTTTTTAAGTTTTATTTTACTGAGTTATAGTCAGTTTACAATGTTGTGTCAAATTCCAGTGTAGAGTACAATTTTTCAGTCATACATGAACATACATATATTCATTGTCGCATACTTTTTCACTGTGAGCTACCACAGGATCTTGTATATATTCCCCTGTGCTATACAGTATAATCTTGTTTACCTATTCTATATATACCTGTCAGTATCTTCAAATTTTGAACTCCATACCCAGCTTTTTAAAAGACTGCATGTTTCAGCCTCCCTTTCAACAAGATGTAATCATGTGACTATACTCTGGCCAATAAGATGTAATCTGAAGTGTTGGGTGGAATTTCAGGGAAACCTCCTAACAGGCTCAGTGATAAGCCCTCCTAGCCTTCTTCCTTCCTGTTTCTGGAATTAAGATGTAAAGGTCAGAGTTCCAGGAGTCATCTGGGACTATGGAGAATCTTGAGGACAGAAGCTAGTTCATCAAAGAAGAAAGACAGAAAATGCTTAGGTTTCTCATGTTATGGAGCTGTCAAATCAGTCCTACTTCCCTCTCAAATTCTTTTATATGAAGAAAGTAACCCTTCTAGGTTAAGCATATTAGAAAAACTTTTCAACAAATGTATAACAAAATACATAATAACTAAAATGCCGGTGTTGGTAGAAAGGAAACTAACATTCCTGAGCACATACTCTGCAGCAATCACTCTCTCTGTGCAGCATTTTAAATTGTGATATCTATCAATCACATAAAAAAACACAGGAAATAATATAACTGAAGTACATACCCACTACCCAGTTTTAACAGATATTAACATTTTGCTGTATTCCTTTCAAATCTCCTTTTCAAAAGATGTAAAATTTTACATATACTCCTATCTATGTCAACAATACTTTTCTCCTCAGTCTCTCCTCATAGGTAACCACTGTCTTAAAGTTGGTCTATGTCATTTTCTTCCATATTTTTATTCTTTTACTAGATATGCATGTACCCATAAACAATATTATATACTACTGTCATTTTAAAATTTTTATGAAAATGGAATCATTCCATTCATATCCTTTTAAACTTGCTTTTTTTACTCACTATTATATCAGATTTTCCATGTTGATACATATAGCTCTAGTTCATTCATATTACATGCTGCATATATTCCACTTCATATGCTACCCATCAACTCCCCTATTGAAGGCAGTTATGTTTATATTTATTTTGCTATTACAAGCATTTCTGCACTGAACATGTATATCTCCTAATATATGTGTCCAAGTGTTTCTTTAAAGTAGATACCTAGACATGGACTTCTTGGCTTGTAAGGTATGAGGGTTTTCAACTTTAATAGGTATTGTAAAATTTCTTTCCAAAGATGTTGAAGCAGTTTACATCTCTAAATGTAGCATATATGAGTGCTTTTTAATTCCTATATGCTCCCGAAGTGTTAAGTGCTATTAGATTTTAATTTTTGCCAGCATGATGGTTTTGATAAGATAGTTCATTATCACTTTAACTTGCATTTCCCATAAGATCACTTGTAAAGTTGAGTATCTCTTCTATAGCCTGTTCATATCACTTTCCCATTTTTCTATTGGGTTGTTTCTTGTTCTAACTGATGTGAAATTCTTTATATAGTCTAGACACTAATCCTTTGTT